ACTTCTGGATTCTCATTTTTGCATCGCAAAGGCTCCTGGATTACCATTTTTTAAACTTCTCTGAGGAAGTTCTTTTTATTTTTGGTTTATGATTATTTGTTCCATTTTCACCTAAAAGGATTCCAAAAATTTTTTTTACCTGGCTAGGGATTGCTTCGTGTTTTGAATCTTGAACTCTTTGTCCTGAAGATTTTTATTGATGATGGCTCTTTCTTTTGGCTATGTGATTTGAAATTTTTCGGTATTATAAAGTTTAAGTGTAGATATGTAAATGCATTGACACTGAGAGTAAATATGTAAGTGCATTGAAACTAAAATTTCTTGCTATGGGTTGTCCACTTTCCCTTCAAAACATAGTTACTTTTGACATAATGAGGTGTTAATGAATGATTTGCGGGGTCTGTTTTATCTATTTGTGTACTCATACAGTTCTATTGCAAACAGCTTAACCAAACATGACAGAATGGTCATTTATCCAACACACATTTGTCAGTAAGATATTCTGAATAAGCTACCACAAACAGCAAGCCAGCTTATTCTAATAATCTGCAGATTATCAGAATAATTTGCTTATCAACAAATTATAAATAATCAAAAGTTGCCCCAAACAAACTCTTAGTATTTCTACTTGTTTTTCGTTCTCATAAGAAGTTGATTATTGTTGATAACCCCTATGCAACAATTCAAATATTTGTAAATTTTTGCAGTAAAAAGTTATTACTCGATTTTAAGCTTACTTTTATCATATAGCTCATATTACGTGAATAAATTGATATATATTCATGCCTATAATTATAGGTCATTAAAATTGATCAAGTGTAATTGCTTATTTTGATTTTTCAATTATTTCAAAGTAAACTTCTATGATTTTATTTTAGATTATTCTAAGCACAACGTAAGAATATGTGGATAACTTTTTATTTTCATTATTTTCTTATTTCTCAATAATTTGATCACAAATAATAATGTAATTATAAGAAAGGATCGTGACAACACGAATCTCAAAAAAAATATAGATACACGACAAACAGATGGGACCCACGGTCATAGTATATGAAGACTCAGTAGAAAACTGATTTACTTTCTGGAAGTAAAAGTTGATGTTAAGTCAAGAGAGGAACATCTCAAAGTTCTGATAAGACATTTCTTTCGGTAGGCGAGCCAACTTATGTAACTGACCGAACGAAGGACAATCATAAATTAGGTTGAATAAAGGATATTTGTACACCGAGCTGAAAGAAGGATGTCTTTGAATGAAGCAGAATAAAGGGAACTCATCGCCGAACAAATAAGACTTGCGAGCCAAAGAATTGAAGTAAAGTCATATGTAGGCTTGATTGAGAAGTCTTCACATCGTCCTCATGTGTTTCGGTCTGTCATCACCAAACTAGTGAGCACGTGCTGATGGCCAAAAGTCATCAAGGCCTACCTTCAAATTTGTTAGATATTATCGTCTTTATATTTCTATTATTTTACCCTACTCAAGTGTTGTTTAGTATTCTTGCTTATTGTATATATGTTTATCTTTATCTCTTATAAGGAGGTGATTGAGACAATTGAAACTCTAGCCACTTTTCCATTGTCTCTTCTATTTCCCTTCTCCTTCTCTATTTTGAAATTCTTAAAATGGTATCAGAGCAAGTTCTGATCCATTCATAGCTTTCGCGTATCTATTTACAGTTTCTTTGTTATTTTGCAATCTCCAACGATAAACCCAATTTTCGGCATCATTTGCAGTCTCCAGTTATAGACCCAATTGCATTTTTATATTAAATATTTTTATAAAATTACCAAACCCCTTTGTCATTTTTTAGAAAATGATGTCCCATTTGATTTTGATCAAGATTGTCTCAATGTTTTCAATTTGTTAAAGGAAAAATTAGTCATCGCGTCTATCATTATTTCACCTGATTGGAAGTATTCTTTTGAGCTTGTGTGTGACACTAGTGATTATGTCATAGGGGTGGTGTTACATCAGAGGAGGGTTAAGGTCTTTAAAGCGATAAACTATGCCAATAAAACCCTTAACGATGCTCAAATTAACTATACCACCACTAAAAAGAAGTTTTTGTCTATAGTATATGTTTTTGATAAGTTAAACCATATTTAATTAGAACCAGATGCACTGTTTTCACTGATCATTCAGTAATTCAATATCTAATCTCTAGGAATACTAAACCATGATTGATAAGATGGGGGCGCAGAAATTTGATATCAAAGTGGTGGATAGAAAGGGTTCTGAAAATCAAATAGCGAATCACTTATCTAGGCTTGATCAGGGGGATTTTCATGCTTTGAATGATGATAGTTACGAAAATTTTCCTGATGAGCAACTCCTTGTTATTTCAAATTTTAGCGTTCTGTGATATGCAAACATAGTGAACTTTATTGTTAGTGGTATTTTACCTTATTATTTGTCGTATCACTAGAGGAAGAAGTTTATTCATGTTGTTAGATATTGTTTTTGGGATGACCCTTACCTTTATACGAAGTGTAAAGACCAGGTGTTTAATGAGGCTTACCCTTAGAAGAGACCTAAGATATGCTTAGGAAATTTCATGATTCTGAATTTTGAGGGTATTTTGGGATTCACATAACTACAATTAAAATTTTGCAATCAGGATTTTGTTAGTCCACTATTTTTAAAGATGTTAATGGTTATATTAAAGCTTGCGATAAATGTCAAAGAGTATGCAATATTTCTAAAGAAAATGAAATGTCTTTCAACTATACGTTGGAAGTAGAATTTTTTACGATTGGGGTTTAGATTTCATGAGACTATTTATACCCTCGCTATGAAATCCCCATATTATAATTATATTGGAATATGTGTCGAAGTGGATTAAGGTTGTTCCTCTCCTTAAATGTAAGGCTTAGAGTGTTTCTAAATACTTGAAGGGCATATTTAACAGATTTGGGACACCTATGATGATTATTAGCGATGAGTGGAGCTGCTTTAGAAATAAGATGATGGAGAAACTTGTTAAAAATTTTGGAATACAACATATGATATCTAATGCTTATCACCCTCAAATTAGCAGACCGATTGAGGTATCCGATAAAGAGATAAAATGAATCCTAGAGAAGACTGTCAAACCTAATATAAAGGATTGGGCTTGATATTGATGATGTTTTATGGGCCTATATGACTGCTTTTAAATCTTCTATAGGAATATTCCTTATAGACTCATATTTGGGAATGTTTGTCATTTATCTATTGAACTTGAGCATAAAACATTTTGGGTGATTAAAGAGTTCAATTTTAATATGAAATGAAAGATACTGTGAGAAAAAATTACTACATCTAAATGAACTTGATGAGATTATTGAGGAATCTTATAAAAATGTCAAGATATATTAGGAAAAAAATAAAGAAATGACATGATCAAAAGATTCTTAGAAAAATTTTTGAGCATGGAAAGCAAGTTTTGTTATATAATTCTTGGTTGAAACTACTTCCAACAAAACTTAAATCCAGGTGGTCGCTGTTTACTGTAGTAAAGGTTTACCCTTTCGGAGCAGTTGATATTGTTGATCATGTTTGTGGAAGGGAGCTCAAGGAAAATGGACAAAAGTTAAAACCTTATTTAGAGGGAGAGAAACATGGTCTTATTGAATCCTTAACTTTGGGTCAACCTAATCAGAAGATCTAGCATTGTGGGGTTGTGGACATTAAACTAAGCGCTTCTTGGGAAGCAATCCAAGTTTATCTGTTTGAATGTTAGGATTTGTTGCATTTAAAGTAATTGTGTGTTTATTTTTCATTTGTTAGTGTTGTTTGTGGTGATTTGTTGTGAAAATATTGTGTAAATGGACCAAAGCCAAATAATAATAGCTGTGTACCAAAAATCCATAACTGCACACTAACCATAATTTTTAAATACGAATTATAAGGTATTGTCTAACCAACATCTAAGTGCATGATGTGTAGTGCATGGGCTGTAGGATCCTAACGGGGTTACTAAGTTGTCCCCCATCCCGAGCATATGAATGTCTCAAGAAATCGAAAGAAATGGAGTGTGAATATGCGAAAAAAAGTTTGCAAAAATTCATACTTGCATGTTATCTGAATTAAGGAAAAGCCAGATTATTCTAATCAAAATTAAATTTGACCATCATAACTCTTTTAATTGATTTTTAGATGAATTATACATAAATTATTAATGGTGTTGAATCCAGATTTGTCTTCTGAAGCATGACCAAAGATCAGAGTGGTAGAAACCAGAGACAGAAAGAGAGATGCAGAGAGGGAGAAAGAGAAGGAATGAACACACACAGACTTTCCCCATAGGGGTAAATTGGGGCATTCTTGGGTTCAACGACCCATTTTATATAAAAAAAGAAATGTTTTACAAGAGGCAAGGGGAGAGAGTTCTCTCTATAAAAGACATAAATAAAGAGAAGAACACCCAAAAACCCCTTTGTTACTTGTATTGGACCCATATTTATGGAATATGTAATAAATGTTTGAAACTACATGCTTGACTTTATTTTAATAAGAGCGTTACAAATATGCATTTTTGTATTTATAACTAATTATGATATATTTTCGTATGGATTTCATCTGCTCGACTAGTCCTTGGGTCGGCCGCCCGGGTTGTTTCGGTCATCTAGGCTGAGGTGGTCAGTTGGCTGAGTTGGGCGGCTAGCTGTGTTGGCTGACTAGCTAAGGTGGCCGGTCGTCAGAGGTGGCTGGGTGGCTGAGGTGGTCGGTCGATTTAGTTGACAGACTAGTTATGGGGCCAGTCGGCTGAGGTGGTCATGTTGGCCTTCACTAGTGTACTATCACATAAATTTAAGAGCTTTTAAACCGATCGATATTTTGAAGATCTTGATACCAATTATTCTCGTATTAACTAATTATGAAAATTATAGAGGACGCGGTTATCTTTCATTGCGATATGGGATTAGGCGGAAGCGGTCGAACCGGGAGTCGCGGTTCGATGGACTCTTGGACCAGCACACACGATAGGCATCGACGACCGCACCCGCCAACACACCAGCTGGGGGACCACGATTGAAAGAGGAGATGAGGATGAAAGGAATAAAACCCGAAATATCCCTCGCTCACTTCCCTCCACCGCCGAATATTCCCGTCGTCCTCCTCGCATATTCCCGATCCTCGCCTCTGTTTCAATTTCCACGGCAACCACCCTCTTTGCTTATTTAATCAATCGATTCCACCGTCGCCTTCTCCTGTCTACTTTTCTCCTCATTTTTGTAGAGAGAGAGAGAGAGAGAGAGAGAGAGAGAGAGAGAGAGAGATGAAGTTTGGGAAGAGTCTGAGCAACCAGATCGAGGAGACGTTGCCGGAGTGGAGGGACAAGTTCCTCTCCTACAAGGAGCTGAAGAAGCGCCTCAAGCTTATCGGACTCGACACCATCTCTGAACGCCCTAGCAAGAAGCCGTGCTTGGATAAATGGAATGACATTGCCAAAGCCCCCTCCGACTTTACGATCGGAGGAGATCCTTATCTATCCTCCACAATGGGGGCTTCCTTGACGCGGGAGGAGGAGGACTTCCTGAATCTTCTGGAGGCTGAGCTCGAGAAGTTCAACTCGTTCTTCGTCGAGAAGGAAGAGGAGTACATCATCCGCCAAAAGGTTCGTCTAGAAATCCTACGGGTAATGGTCATTGAATGTTGAAATTTTCGTGACCAGGCCTTCCGGCGAAGAACAATTAGGAAAGATGATGATCGGATCTGACATAACGTTCGTGCATATATAAACGGAATATTCCGTATAAATTGAAGTTCCATTCCTTCTTGTTCCCTGGCATGACCATCAATATCCGTCTCTTTTATTAATTTTTTTGATATTTTTATTTCGGAGTGCCGTCAAACATTCTTTATTGAGACTTTGCAATCAATAGAGGTCATCGTGATCCTACATTTAATTTCTAGTGTTCATCTTTGTATGATATTATGGCGAACTCTGTTTATATTTGACAACTTAACAAGCCACTGTAGCTGTGCCGCAAATGAGCTTAACCGTTCTGGTTTATCATTATATTTGCTGTAATGATATCATTATTTTGTAGGAACTGGAGGACCGAGTTGCAATGGCCGCGGAACTGGATTCCAAGGATGACATGATGATGGTACGCAGGGAGATCGTTGATTTCCATGGCGAGATGGTCCTCCTTGAGAACTACAGTGCTCTCAATTACACTGGTATTTTTTTATTATACACATGTGTCTATGTATTTAGCAGTTATTTTCTATCTATCTATATATTTATCTATATATTGAAAACATCTGCTACAACTTCTATATTTGGATAGCAATTAGGCAAACGCATGTTATGTAACATGGAAACAAACAAGTGCTTTAACGCATAACACTAGCTGAAAACAATGTCAAGCAAACAACTAGATAGTAGCAGTACAACAACGACGACGACGACAAGCCTTTATCCCACAATGTGGGGTTGGCAAAAAGTCTAGATAGCAGTAAACTGAAAAATTGTTTGTTAGGACTTGAGTTCTTTTTGGATTTGTAATGATCGATCACCTTCAAAACTAGAAGTAAAGCCTGTATCTTACTTTGACAATATCTTCTTTAAATGAGCTAAGATAAAAAATTTTTCAAAGATAATATGATATTATTGCATTTTGATTGTAGCCTTATACTTTTTAAAGAAATTATATTATATAAAATAATCCTACAAACAAGAAGATCTGCCAACTTGCTTTTTACTCAAATCATATTGAGTTCTACTCCATGGAATTTTAATCTTAGTTTGGCTTGATCCAACTGAGATTCACCGCTTCATTTTCATCAACCCTTTTTACTCAAGTCCAGTCTTTTGTTGATGTTTAATATTTGAGTTAATCCTCTATCCAATGTATATAAATATGCATGTATTTGAGCATACATCAATACATCCATACCCTGTATATAGTCATTTATAACCATCATTCATGCTAGTCCTTAGTTTCAACTATGTAATGAATCATATCATATCTTAAATTTATAAGCGGTAATAATGTACGATGGCATAAACATGTTGTTTATCTTTTCATTTATGTTTTAAATGAACATAACATTTCATACTCATGTTTTTTCATTCTTTATTAAATACATGTCTCAGGAGTATTTTCTAAACCTATCACACTCATGTCTAGTATGTATTACGTCGACATAATAGGGCATAATAGAACTGCTATTGTCTGAGATGGATATAGACTTACCCATGTCTGATACATCCCCCATTGGTACAACGAAGTTTGGTCTTAATTTCAATATTGTCTGAGACGACAAACAAAACATCTATAGTGGTGGGTACATTGATGTCTCGACCAATATAACAGGAGGGTACATTGGTACATTGAAGTTTGATTATAATTTCAATATTGTCTGAGATGAAAAACAAAACATCTATACTTGCGGGTACATTGATGGCTCGACTAGTTTAATAAGAGGGTGAATTTCAATGATGATCATTTTATTTTATTCTATGATATATGCACTAGTTCCATATGAGACATCATATGCTTATCTACTAATTACTAAATGCTCTTCTATAAGAAGTTAAAATCATGCTATAATCATCTAACGTTTTTTTTGAGAAAATTATCATGGAGTAATTCATAAAGTAATATTGACATTCACATTTCATTCTTAACAATATGAATTAATGATCAGTTGCGGTATATAACAAATGAATATATAACATAAATGAAAAAAATGAATAAAAAAATAAATCAGAATAAGAAGCATTAATATAATTTAGAAATAAAATTATCCACCTCAAATTTTGATTTCTGATTTAAGTCTTTACCTTTTAAATCAATACAACTGCAATCATTCCTTGATGATCAAACATCATAATCAATATTAAGATATTTGCATTAAACAAATTCCAAAATACTATAATACATCTATCCCTTTTTAATACTAAATTTATTTTAATTCGCTTCTAAACAAATGATCTTTTATAATTTTTTACTCATGTTTTCCTCTTAAGCAAAAATCAAGTTGCTATTTACAGCAAAATTAATATCTTAAAATAATGATTATTAACATATTTTTGCGCTCTTGTAACTTAATCTTTGTTTATATATCAATTCTTTAAAATCATAAAATTAAGGTAGCTTTATTAATTAGGCCCTTACATAAGTAAATCTCAACAACACATACATACTTAGTGTTGTTGTTGTTGTTTACTTTAGAGAAAACTTCAATTACCATTGCCCATGTCTATCCTTGCTCGCACTCAATTTCACTGTAAAGCTTCTGCTTGAACCTGTACGGTGTTGCACGTAGTGCACGCGCTTTTGCCATAGCTTGTAATCAATGTTGCTTGCTGTTTTACCTTTAATCCTCTCCTCGCTCCTTTCACTCCTCTACTATCTGTTATGATTTATGGGAGTCAAAGCCGCACAGCTCGCTCGTCTCCCTTTCTTTTTCATTGCATTCTTCGCATCCAGCAAATTGGCATTTGTCGATTGAATTTCTCTTTTCCTTGTTATTTTTTTCTATAATTACACATTTGGACTTGAGTTTTTCTTTTGATTGTTACAATAAGCTTCATATATATAGTTTACTAGAATTAACTTGTTCTATTGCTTCCCAAATTCCTTTTTTTCCTTCCTTTTCTTTCCAGTTGTTTATACTCAATTAATTCTACCTCCTAGGCTTGTTGGCGCATGAGCTACCATCTAATGTAGATGCGAAGATTTCATAATCTATTCTCTTAGTATAAATACTACTTTTATTGAGTAAGTTATACTTTCACCATCTTTTAAGTATAATCATTTTCTAATTAATTTTTCATAACTTTATTACACGTCCATCATAAAGTTCGTATTATTTCAACTAAAAAAATTGTTTGCTAATGCTTTTTGGGAGGGTGTGAACTGACTGAGGAAAAGTTATGCGCCTGCTGGTGGTCATACTTACTTTCAACTCAGAAGTGAGGAACATTTGACATTTCAATACTCTCACTTGCATCAACGATCTTTTCCTCACTTTTCATCCATTCACATTGTCCATCATTCCTTTTTCAACGGATGCTTTTCAAACTCTTTGGTTGTCATGCATAGAACCTTCCATTCACATTGTCCATCATTCCTTTTTCAACGGATGCTTTTCAAACTCTTTGGTTGTCATGCTTAGAACCTAATTAACTCTTTGGTGGCATTATGAGTCACTCTTGAATTTTGCTCGACCATGATAGATGAATACCCAAGACCGAGAGCTATAAGTCATACGAATCACTTGATCCCCAGTAAACATTTGATGGAGAGTGTAGACCAAAGAGAGATAAAAGTTGGTTTTTATGCATCGAAGATCAAATCTATTTTCAACTCAACAGCATAACTTATGCCCGATGGCAGACTACTTAATATTTAAATGCCAATGTATTTTTTTAACCATTGATGTGGTATCTTAACACAGTCTACATGGTGAGTCATATCTAAATACATTATGAGAATTGGCTCAATTAGTTTACATCTAATTTAATTGGACCTTGCCGTAGCCCGTAAGTCACCTTCATCATCATTAGCTTTACCCCATGTTTGTTTTTATCAATCCTTCAACTTTGATCATTCCTATTTTCCCACTGAGTATGAGGAATTCTTCTGTGTAATTTTTTTTTGCAGGCATAGATTTTTTTCCTTTTAACAGTGTATGTTAATTCTATGAACTATCTTTATTAATTCATCTTCTGTCCCTTATTGTTTGCCAATATCCCCTTAAGTTTGCTTTTTAGTACCTTAAGTTGGTGATACTCTAAACCATCTCATTGCCATCCATTATATCATTTCTTCCTTGGTTATATCGGTTGGTATTCATTTGTTTGTTGCCTGATAGTAAATCCATTTAGCATATGAATTTAATGAAGTTTTATTAATTTTTTTTCTAAGCATTCATGATATTCTATTGTCGCATAATAAACATAATTCACCTTTTTTCATTTAAAAAGTAAGTTTATTATAACATTTCATTTTTTTCATTGTTAAATTGGCGAGTGTTTCATTTTTGTTGTCTAATAGGAAATCCATATATCATATTGATTTAAAGATAGTTCTATAAAAGTTTCACCTAAACATTCATAATATTCTATTTTAACACAATAGTGACGGTTAACTTTTCCATTTGAACAAATCTGCTTAATCTGTTGTAGCTTCTATCTGTAGCACAAAAATTTACATGATTTGAAGGCTGGCTCATAAAAAAACCTTATCATGGTGATGCACACCTGATTTGACCAAAAATCAATTCAAATTTGGTAGTCAGTTTTCAAGACATGCAGGTTTTGACAGGGGATGAGAATTCAATTGCATTCATCAAAACAATAAGGTAGAATACATTAGTAATATATATAGACAAAAAGGTAATGAGTAAGAAAATAGGCAGAAGGAATAGAAGGTAAATCAGCCATGGTTCCACTACGCCAGCTGCAGGTATACGGCAGGAAAGTGGAGCTGAATTTGCTGTCAGAAATGGTTATTACTTCCCAGTAAGCTGATGTTCGCATGGGTGAACCATTAGCTTGGTTGTGAAATGGATAAATTAATTCTTGGGCAATGTTTTGGTTAGAACGTCCGCTGGTTGAGGTTACAGCTTTATATTCCATCTTTGTGGAAGACCGAGCTACTGTATTTTGTTTCTTGACCGTCCACGAAATAGGAGCAATCTCCAAATTGGTAGCAAAACCTGTTGTAGACTTCTTGGTGTTGGGATCACTTGCCCAATCAGCGTTGACATTGATGCAAAGTTGGAGATCCCCATGGGTAGCTTATGCCCGAGTGTTGCGTACCTTTGAGATATTTGAGTAGACGAGTTAGCAGTTGGAAATGATGCTTTGTTGGTGCATGCATATGCTGACATAGTTGATTTGCAGCAAACACAATTTCCGGTCTTGTGATAGTAAGATATTGAAGAGAGCTCATAAGTTACCGGTAGAATTGACGATTGTGGAATGGCTTACCATTCTCAACTATTGTAGGTAGTTTGAGAGGTCGAGGAGTGCTTACTGGACGACAGTCAAACATTCCAACAGTTAATAAAATTTGAGAGTTATTTTTTTTTTGTGTAAGAAACCATGAGTTGGGTGATTGACGTCTGCAAAATTGTCTTGAAGAGGGCGGCCACTTTGCGCAAGTATACATGTCAAGTAATAAGCGGTTTGCAATATTACCGCGTATCGTTCGCATGAGGAAGTGTTTTGAGAAACAGGTCTGAAAAGGTGAAGCTACAATTTACTAGCTATTTTAACCTAGTTCAGCGTGGTTTAGAAAACAGAAAAGAGAAATAATTAATCTATCAGAGTTGATAGAAAATAAGAGGTCAAATTACTTTGGTGTTTCTTCAAGATTGTTGAGGATTATGTCTCTGTGATTCAAGTGTGATGCTTGGCTTTAATTTTTGTGCAATTTCTTCTATGTGGTTGTTGTCAACCAGAGATGATATTTTCTTCTTAAGTCTATGCCTAGGTTAGAAGCAGAATTGAAATTTCACAAAGATATGTTGCGTTTATCTTTATGGCGTCTCCAATATTTTTCAGATCCCCATCATTAACTGTAAGATTCGTAATAAAATATTTCTATCTTAATCGGATATTGTGGTTAATCTAATCGTTTCATTACGTTTCTTCCAAAATCGTAGATCACTATTGATTTTAGCCAGGTTAGAAGTAATGAAGGCTAGAAATTTAACCAACAATGTTAAACAATCCAAAGCGCAACAAACATATTATGAGAAATAGACTACAAAAATCAAGCCAGAGTACCCATCCACAAATCATGGAGGCACGAAAATTAATTTAGTTGCTCATATTTTGAGAGAAAAACACATGAAATCTCATTGAAACCAAACCTGCAAGAAACATCTTTATCAAAATAAAAAAAAGACTTACAGGCTTTGTCAATCTCCTCTTACAAGGGCAACATAAATAATTCTCTCAAATGCTTGTTAAAGAAATCATACAAAAACAGTAGAGGAGAAGAAGAACTCTTTCAAACCTTAGCATGTACTCTGAATTCTCTCAAAAAAAAAACTTCCTTTAATTCTTCCTTAATGTACTCTTTAAAGCCTGAGTTTGAAATCTTTCCAAAACCATCGAAATCCTGCTTATAAAAACCTTCTAATTGAAGCAAATGCGGTAGCATGACCAGGCCTGCTTTGTTGCGTAATTACGTCAATCTCTTGGGTTAGGCGACGTGGTCACACCGCCTATAGGCGTGGCTAAGCCTAGACACCAAGCGCGCGGGTCTTCGACAAAGATGGCGTGACCATGCCCAAAAAATGGCCTGGCTACGCCAAGAGTAAGGAAGGTCGCGCGACCCTGGTCACGACATGGTTATGCTAGGCTGATTTATTCCAAAGTCTCCTGATTCGCTCTGATTTGTTTGCTAGTCCTCTTAAAACCTATAAAATACAAATCTCAACCTTCTAAAAGCGTGAAATAATGAAAGTAAAGGAAAAAAATACTAGAATTAAAGCATAAAATATGCAAAAAATTGAAGCATGTCAGTGACCTGTGAGCTTTAATTCCCAAAAAGCAGGATATGGCACCAAGATGTTTGAGTTGGGACTTGGAGTTGAGTGTTGGCACTAGTTGAAAGATAGTGTCATTGTTATTTTCAGTTCATTGTTATTTTCAGTTATCAGCATATCATCCACATGAATGAGAACGAAAATAGTTCTCCTTGATTGTAAAGCAGGAGGGAAGGATCAGCTTTGCTAATGGTGAAGCCCTTGTCCATAAAGAATGTGGAGAGCATAATATATTATTGTCTCGGTGCCTCTTTGAGTCCATAGAGAGATTTCTGAAGGAGAGAAACATGCTTGGGAAGTTGTGGATCAATAAATCCTGAAAGTTTACGCATGTAGAAACTTTTCGTGATATGGCCATGTAAAAAATCATTGGATACATCAAATTGAAGTACATCCCATTTGTGATGTAGAACGATTGTCGAAGTATACAGATTGTAGGTACCTTTGCGATGGAGCTAAATGTTTCACTATAGTTTATTCCAAACTCTTTATTTTATTCTTGTGCGACTAATCTGACCTTATACTGAGCTACTGTACCATTAGAATTCTGTTTTGTTGTGTAAGTCCAGCGAGAGCCAAGGATTTGTGAATCAGTGGAAGGAGAGACAAGTGTCCAGGTGCCTCGTGTTTGTAGCACATGAAACTCTTTAGCCATCGCGTGACGCTAATGGGCAAATTTAGCTGCTTGAGTACAGGTGGGATTGGGTACAAAATTGATGTTATGTGAGAGATTGAGTTTTTGAGGAGGTTTAAGATGACCCATTTGCAATCGGGTAGTCATATGGTGGGTTTTGGGAAGGGCTATGCTGTTTGGAGGTGATAAGATAGGCAATTGGGTGGGCTTAATTGGTGGAGGAGCGGTTGGTGTGAGGTGCTCGAGTGCAGGACAGGAAGGTAGTGAGCATGGGGTGGGTAGTGAGGATGGTGTGAGGATAAGATGCGAGATTGATGGTTCGACTGGAGGAGTTTGATTTGAGGTTGGTTTGAGGATGGTTTTCCATGGATAGGTGAACTCATTAAGTGTAACATGTCTTGAGATTATAATTTTTTTGGTGGATGGGTTGTAGCCCTTGCAGCCTTTGTGTATGGAAGAGTATCCTATGAAGATGCAAGGAGTAGACATTGGTGCTAATTTATGAGGAGATTGAGGTTTGGTCCAAGGATAGTAAGCACAACTAAAAACTCTGAGATGGGTATATGTGGGAGGTGTCCAGTGAAGATGTTGATACGGTGAGATTTATTTTGTAACTTTGGTTGGCATTCAATTTATTAGGTAAGTAGCTGTGAGAAGAGCTTCTGACCATAAAATATAAGGTAGTTTGGCATCATTAAGAAGGGCTCGAGTAGTTTCAATTAGATGTCTATGTTTTCTTTCTGCCACTCCATTTTGGTCAGGAGAATGTGGGCAAGAGTATTGGTGGATAGTTCTATTGTTGCTTAAATAATTATTTAGTTCAAGACTTTTATACTCTCCACCGCCATCTGTTCTCAGAATTTTGACTTTAGTATTGAATTGAGTTTGAAGCATATTGTTATAAAGTGTTGGATTTTGAGTGGGAAATCAGAAATTTCAAGGAGGGGTAGACATTGGGGTGTTTGGGAGAGAAGATGATAGTAGGTTGGTTGTTGCTGAATCTTCCATATTGCTAGGATTAAGGACCAACGAAAATTACCTACACTGCAGTGTGTGGAAAGCCCCTACTGTTGATCTTCATTCAGCTGCAGAAGAACCTTTGCTGGAGACAATCGGAAGCCTAGAGTCCCTCGATAGAGCTTGTTGCCCTGCTCTGATACCATAAAGACAAGCAGGTTTTGACAGGGGATGAGAATTCAATTTTATTTATCAAAACAGTAAGGTAGAATACATAGTAATATATATAGACAAAAGGTAATGAGAAGGGAAATAGGCAGAAGGACTAGAAGGTAAATCAGCCATGGTTCCACTACGCCAGCTGCAGGTGTACGGCAGGGAAGTGGAGCTTAATTTGCCGTCCGATTATTAAGTTGAATGATACTTTTTTGCTTTTTTTATTGATGTTGGTTTATATCACTGGACTGCATTGAGGGTTTATCCTTCCCTTCATTATTCTGCTTTGTTTTCCTTTATGTTTGTATGTCATCAGTTTCAGAGAATAGTATGGATTTGGTATGGTAGAACAAAATATTGGACTATTCTGACAAAATTTGGTCATAATAAGCTTCCAAATCTTTGGATTTTCACATCTCAGAGCTGATCCAAGGGGTTTGAATATTTGCCGCTTTTTGGTTAAAATATCTCGATACCAAAGTTTTCCCAATCTATCTTATGAAGTATATTCTTCTACAGCTCTCCCATTCTTTTAACTCTTATGGATTCTTAATTAAAAAAAAAGGTCCTAAAAACTCATTGCACTTCGTAATTTAATTAAATTGGACGAATAAAAAATTCTTTCAAAGCGAGAATGAATGATTTTCTCATAAATTGGATTGCACAACTTTGAAAGCGGGTTAAAATGATTTTTCATGTAGATTTCTTTAAGAGTGTAGCAACAATCTTATTTATATTCTATTTGGTTGCTGTTTTCTGCAAATTATTTTTGCCTCAGTTTATTTTTACCCTTCCTTCTTTTACACGGCTATTTTTGACCTTGTGTCAATCTGATGAAGAGGCTCTTTTTACCTTTGTTTTAATCTCATATTACAATTTTGTTTGGATGCTTTATCATTCTTGTATATAATCAATACTGGAATGCATTTGATGGTTGCAATATGAATATGGTTAAGCTTTTGAGGGGAATTTTTAAAATTTTTTAAATTTATATATCTGGCAGTGGCTACTCATTTCTATCTATCCTCTGCCACTCTGACTTGATTACTTTGCCTTTGGTGACTGTTGATTCCCTTTTAACTAAAAGTGACTCTCTTAACAGGTTTAGTGAAGATACTGAAAAAGTATGACAAAATAACTGGAGCTTTGATCCGACTTCCTTTCATCCAGAAGGTGCTGCAGCAGCCTTTTTTCACCACTGACCTTCTGTACAGATTAGTGAAGAAGTGTGAGGCGATGCTGGATCATCTTTTCCCAAAGAAGAATGAACCTTCCATTTCTGATGATCAAGGTGATAACGATGGTGATGAAGGCGAGGAGAGGGAGCAGAAGCCATCAAATCAGGGCTCCACGATGGCAGATTTTGGGGTTCAAGCAGTTGAAGAGATAGAATACATTGAGAGTCTTTATATGAAGAGCACCATAGCCGCCTTGCGGGTGCTGAATGAGATACGAAGTGGGAGCTCTACTGTGAGTGTCTTTTCGTTGCCTCCATTACGGAGCAGTGGAGTGGATGAGAGATGGAACAATGTCCCAGTGGTAGAGCAAGTTGCCGAATAGCTGAGGGATTGTGCTTGCCAGAATAAAGTCCTGTCGTTTACCTTTCTTTTTTAATGAGTTTTATATATCATTCTAACAAAATGTGAAGTATGAGATAGGAGTGTAATTTTCTGTGTGAGCTTCATTTTCCACATCAGCTAGAATTATTTTTCTTGGCATGCTGACTGATCTGCATTCGCGGTGTTGCATGTGTTAGCATATATGTACTGTACACAATATTAGTCTGAATCCGATGAATCAATTCATCATAAGAATCTGAATTTGCTAGTTACCAGGTCCCAATCTATAGTTGAATTGTTCAAGAATTTAATCTTAGGATCAGAATGAGGCAACTGTAGTTATTTGAAGAAGCAGTTATGATTATTTTTGAAAAAAACTGTGGAAATTATTATAAATTCATTTAATTTTGAAAGTCAGATCACAATTTTTTGATAAATCACCACATATTAACAACTCAGGTTAAAAAAATAGCTTTTTATCAAAAAAAAAAAAAAAAATAGTTTAAAAAAAATTGAGGAGGCAAAAAGCTGTCTCAAAAAGAGCTTTATTTGACTTTTAATTTTGAGCTATTGAGCTCGACCAAGATACTCGCGAAGTTGCTTATTTTAGGAGGCTGTTTGTCAACGAACTAAGCCGTTCACCATAAGAACTCAAAAATTGAGAACTTTGAAAGTCATATAAGATTCTAAAAATTATTTGGTAATGCTGTCGATTACGATGATCTCATGTGATCCAATAACTTTATATATTGCTTTTAGAGAAATTTTTTTAATGCTTTAGCCCGTCTAAAATTTATTATGTTGCCACTTTATTAATTCTTGACCTTCATATAAGAATGTTGATTTCAACTTGCCCCTTTAGATAAAATAAAGTTATTATAAGTCTTGTTATGAATCTAATATATTACAATTAAGATTGCCCCCAATAGGAGCATAATAACATTAAACATTTTTTAGGTTTATTCTTTTTGAGATATTTTGATAAATATTTATATTTTCGAACAAGTAAAAATTGACAATCAAAGTTAGCACATATTTCTGGTATAAATAAAGATTGTCTATCGTTTGAGGTTATTATGTTCGAAAAGTTCTAAAATATACTTCTACATTTTAAGACTTTAATTTTGAGATTTTTTTAGTGTACATATATCTTTTGTCGTTTATAATCTTTAGAGAATTTTTTAGTGTACATGTACCTTAGTATGTTTGTACATTCTGAGGTTTTTTTTAATGTACTTGTATCTTCTGAGAAATTTTGAGTAGAAACACCGTCAACTACCTTATAATCTTCTGAAAATTGTAAGTATGAATGTACTTTCTGAGATGTTTTTGATTTACTTGTATCTTCTGAGATTTTTTTAGCAGAAACACCGCCAACTACTTGTTTATATGGAGTCTTTCTAGTGTTTTCTAAACCTTAAACCCTAAATCAAGACCGGCTCATGGATTTGGGTGTGCCCTTCAGAGGTATGAGTAGGGATAAGTAATGAATGTGTCACAATTTGCTCACAAGGGATCTTTTTAGTGTATTGTATTCACTACTATCTTCTCATCGAGACTGCCTCATGATTATATTTTTCAAGGGTATAACTGAAGTTTGTGTCTGTCAATTGCCCTCAGAGAGTCTTTATTATAAGAATTGTCTCAACTATTAGCATCCCATCTCGACTACTTCACAATCATGTCTTCTAGGTGTATGGTGGAGACTGTCTACCACTTGCACTCAAGGAGTCCTTATAGTGGGGATTATGTCCACTGCTAGCTTACCTTCAAAGCAAACTCATGAGTATGTCTTCAAGGGGTACAAGTAGAGACTGAGTCTGCCAATAAGAATGTTAGACCTATTTAGAATTATTTATTAGCGTGTTACTCAATGATATTAATCCATGTTAAAGATATCATAATAAATTCATCAATAACGTTTAACCTATATAAGGTAAGCTGCCATGAGAGATCCTCCAAAGATGTTTGAGATATTTGAGATAATTTGCATATAAGATTCCATGAGAAATTCTCCAAAGATATTTGACATATCAAAGGTCATTATTAGTATGTATGTGAGAGATCCACTAAGAATATTTGACCTATTTGAGGTCATTTACACATAAGATGCGTGAAAAATTTACCAAGAATATATGGTTTGTCAAGGTTCATCATTAATCTACAAATAAGATATCATGACAATTCCATTAAGTATATTTAATAGATTTGAGGCATTTGTACATAAGATGTCATGAGAAATTCATCAAGGATGTTTGATATATCAAAGACCATTATTAGTCTGTATCTAAGATATCATGAGAAATCTACTAAGAATATTTTTTTGATTTGAGGTCATTTGTACATACGATGCCATAAGAAATCTACCAAGGATATTTAACATATTAAACATCATCATTAATATGTTTATAAGATATCATGAAAAATACATTAAAGATATTTTATGGATTTGAAGTCATTTGCATATAAGATAGTTTATTGGTCAGAGCAATTTCTCGATGACGTTAAACTGCGTGGAAGATGCCAAATGTAATCCACCAATAAATTTTACCTATCCTAGTTAGTTGGTTGGAGCATTTGCTCAATGATTTTAACCCGCATGGAAGTGGTTGAATGTAAGCTACCAAGAATTTTTGCCCTATCACGGGTTATTAGTCAAAATAGTTGCTAGATGACCTTAAAATGTGTGAAAAAGCTTGAATCAAGTGACCCTAGGGTATAGGTCGAGATGATTCATAATTTTTTTGGAAAATATGATCGCAGTCATACTTAAGAAAGAAATATGGCAACTTTCGTGTTTTTACATTTACATTTGTTGCTACATCGTGGGGATGTTATTCACAAGAGCCTTATTATTTTATATAAAGCAACCCAAATAGCATTGACAACTTATCTTTTCAATTTCTTTCTTAAGTTGATGGCATGATTTAGTATTATGGTCATGAATCTGATGGAATTAACAATGCAAGTTGATTTAGAGGCTGATGAGGGAGACGAAAGTGTGGAACTAACAGTATTAAGAAGGTGAACTTCTTGACTAGGTTGAGGAGGAGCTCCAATATGAAGAGGATAACTTTTTTACCCAGTTAAGCATGAGGAGGAGGTGTTGAAAGAAACTTATCTAATTGAGCATCTCCGATTAGTAGTTGATATGGTGGTGAGTAAGCTCTGCTAGTTAAAATAGTGATGTTTATCGAGCCTTGTAATAATAGCTGAAGAATATTGTTCTGATATTTCTCTATTATAAACACATGGTCATCCATGGGTAAAGAAGAGGCTGCTTTACCGATAGAGTATTGCCCATTTAACAAAATAGATGCAAAGGCCTTTTGTACTAGCATTGAGATAATCACATATCATGGTGGGTGTTAGAGTGGGTGATTCCATTATTCTGAGTGTTACACTTATGAGCTATCAAAAAGGTCAGATTATGTTTCCCACAAACAATGCTAAATTGTTGCAAGTTAAGAGATTCACAGCAGTTAAGTGATAATTTAACATTTTAGAATTACATGAAGATCTAACACACACACACATATAAAAGTAAAATAATGAAAGGAGATACTATAATTTTAATGTGGAAAAAAGCTAGAAAAGAAAAAAATCACGAGGTCTGACACACTTAAAATTATTTATTATGTAATGACTAGTACAAAGGTCCACTCTTCACCTGAATTAAAGAAGATGAGATTACAAGATGATGTTGTAATTATAATTGCTTTGAAATAACCCAATAGATATAACTTTTAAGGGCAATGGAGAATAAAACTATTGTGGTCTAATTATAATAGTCATGGTGGGGCTATAACAACCGTAGTTGACAATAGAAGTCATAGTTGACGGCGATGACAACCATTGTAGAGCTACTAAAGTCATAGTTGAAGACAAGGACAACTGTAGTTAGCTACAAACTTCTTACTTGTTGGAGGCAATAATAGCAGTAACAGGGAAATCAAAGTTGTAGTTAGTGGTGGTCAACAGCGTGTGGTGGTCAACGATGACATCTGGTGGTCCATGATGACTTTTAGTGGTTGGCAGCGAACTCTGATGGTTTTTTGCAATCTCGGGTGAATGACGACAACCATCGGGACTTTAAGAGTTAAGTTTTTGTAGTCAGCTCATTATTTTCTTCTCCTCCCATTCAAAATGAAAAATGTGGGTCTATTTATAGTTTTTTAGAGAAACATTTTGGTAAATTTGACAAATCTCCCAAAATACTTCATTGAACAGTTCACATGAAGTCCATTGATTCTATGTAATTTTTTTAATATGTATGTGTCTTAATGACATCAAAATAAAATGATATAAGACTCATTGGATTCTTCTCGTTGCTCAATTTGACTATACGCATGCCAAATTTCAAGACTGTTTGGCCTTCCAGTTGTCATACCAAAGGGTTTTAGTGTTTAATCCAGGTTGATTTGAACTCAAATTGGATCACTTTAAGTGAAATTGGGTTCGTTTAATCGAGACACTCAATTTGACTAATAAATTTGCTAAATTTGGGGCTAACATGTTCTTGAATTTGAATTCGAAATATTTCTAGCTCAAAATGTTTTGATATTCATGTATGATGATAAAAATTTATTGATGACACATCGGAGCTTAAAGAAAAACATATCATGATATATATA